CTAATCAATTAGTAACGGTGAGTATAAAATATGAAATATAATGATAGGAGTCGGAAGATCGGAAGATCACGTGACTGCGCCCTCGATTTGTGGTTATGCTGGGACTTTCAACATTACACGATCAGAAAATTTCAAAACAAACGTTCGTTTTGTCAAAAATCGCCTGTAACTCGAGATTTTGCATAGGAAACCACCTTCTGTGCATTAACAAAAAATTTTCTTTGAGCGATTTTGCTATAAAAACCTCTTAACCAAACCTTAACATAAACCCTAACCCAAACCTAAATAAGCTTTAAAGAATTTTATCGAAGTTCACGTGATAGTAACTTTTTGGTGGCGATACTGGGGAAGTGCAATCGGCTGATCAGCTATCAATTTTAGCATTACGTAACAAATCTTCACAAAAGTTTTTTCTAGCTTCAAAGTATTTTTATAATTTAAAGATTTTTATAATTTAAAGGGGAGTTAGCTTAACAATGACTTTTGAAATACATAGGTAAAAAGAAAAAAAAGTATCATTTGAATTTTAACATGCACCAAGACAAAAATAGTTACTAATAAACAGCAGATATTCTTTAGTTTTAAAGCGTCTTGATAGTAGCTATATATTTTAGTTGTGAACACCACTTTCGTCTCACTCTATACGCGTTTTGCGTTTATCGATTCAAAGTTTTGCCTATGAAATTTCTCAATGTTTTTGGGAACAATTAATTCAAATGCTTATTTTTAATACAGTTCAGTGTAAAGGTGCAATAGAAACCCAAGGCATTGAGATATGCCGTATTATAATTCTGGTGCACAATAACGATAATAAACTGAATAAACTAGGTTCGTATATACACATGTGGTGCAATTTTTTTCTACAAAAATGACGAATCACGAAAGTGAAAAGTTCGAATGATATAACTTTGAAAATGAAATATCTACTGTAAATAGCACTAGCGTATTAAATGATCCTGGAAAATATGAAATATTCACCAGAGAAATTGGTGTAGCTGAAGAACCAGCATCGGCACAAAATTAACATTTAATAAATAACGATGAAATAAATAAATAAATAAATAAATAAATAAATAAGTAATATTTGGAAGAATGTTTAGTTTCTACGTAAGTTCTTGACAAAAATTTTCTAGAACAAATGAAGTTTAATTTTCTAGAATCTCGTAATCACATATACATATAGATATATAGAAATTTTTAGTATTTTTAATTTATTGCTACGTAGGTATCTTTTAAGCCATTTCTTTCGTATTAAGATTGTTAGGAGCTTTCTGCACATTACAACGGTGAAATTGGAGCTGAAACATATATTTATAAGACATCCAATTATTACGTACAACGTCTGCTGATAAAGGTTATACCAATGAAACGTTTGATATTGGTTATTGTCTTCTTCACGCGATTGGAGATAATGTGTATGCATTTGAAGATTTTCAAAAGTCGAGTGAAACAGTAAATCCTGTCGAAACAGGATATAGATAGGCATAAGGCATTCAATCATCAAAAAGATGAACAGAAAAGAATAGAAAGATGGCATCGAATGGAACATGAAATCTGTTGAAACGAGTGATGTTAATGATGTATATGTCTTGATGAAAATGGAACTTGTGATGAAAAATCAGCGGGAAATACCAGTGGAATGAACGATCCTGGATGTGATGGAATGGATATTAAAGATGAAAGTAAGTCATTTGTGTGTCATAAAAATGGAATTGGAACTACAAAAGATGAAAAGAAGATATCCAATGATCATCAAGAAAGTCCTGTCAAAGTAATCAAAATACAAGTGCTACGGGGTTAATTAGGTGTTTCTAAGGAACGTGAATTTTCGATTAATATGCTTTTCATGTCTTAACAAAGATTTTATTTATTTGTAGGTATTTATTCACAAACGCGAGTGAACGAAAGACTTTTGTAAGTGATTTATTATTTACATATTTATTTAAGTTCTTTAATTACTGTATGTAGATCATTACAGGTATAAACTCTATTGGGAAAAAGCCTTATCATGATTTGAAGAATTTGCTTCAAAAGTGAAAAAATATTCTATTCACCCAATACTTATAATTGATAACGTTGCTAAAATCGCAGAAAAGAATCCTGTTGTGGTTGAAAGACTCCAATATGTGCTAAAACTGCAGTCTCTTTACCATGGTATTTGTAGGAAATGATACAACTTTAATTTCCAATTTCTTGAGTATATAGTAGCATTCCAATTTAACTTAAATTTTAAAACGTTAATACATCTAATTAATACGTATAATTATTCATATAATAAATAATACCTAGATGCTTCTTCATTTTCGCGTTGTATTATTTTATGCATCGGTGATTTTAGTAAAGATGAAACTTTGGCTTATTTGGTTAATCATCGTAAAATGGATGCTCGAATTGCAAAAAGAATATTTGACCTATGCTGGGGTCGAATCTCTCATATTGTCGATGTGACTTTCGAAATTGATAAACTTATAGATCAACGTAAAAGTTTAGGAAAAACGTTGATTATAATGATAACGAATTCCGTGAAGAAGTTAATAAAACAGTTGATAGTAAGTTATTGAAATCTTTTTTATAATATCAATAATATCATGGTTGATTACTGAATAAATTTTTTATTATATGTAGAGAAAATTAACGGAATTAAACAATTCTATCAGGAAACATGGGATACTTGTATTAATGAAAGTTCGAAACAAAAAATTATTCACAATTTACTAGAGGAGATATCGTTAGTTTGTTTGGAGAGGAGACAGGAAAAGATATATTTTCTACATTATTGAAATTTCATACAATGGTGGATTCGTTGAATTTGGAGCTCCAGTTATAAAAACGATGTTTAGTGAACTTTGTGAGAAGAGCAGGAACTAGTTAGGGATGTTAATTGGTCCTTAGGGATCGGGTCCTAGCCGGTCCGGTCCGATCCTTTAAGGATCGGCAGAGATTCGGTCCTTAAATCACGTGAGAGTTATATAGGACTTAGATCCCGGACCCAGTCCCTATAAAAATCCTATGATCT